GACGCGTAGAGGTTGATTAAAGATTATTTTACTTACACCGTAGATGGTCGCGGTGCAGGCAGGAAAAACTTTGCTTAAGTTGCAGTTACGAACGAAAAGAAAACTCTCACGAACAAGACTCATAGAAAACTCGAGCCTCTTAAACCCGGACAGAGCTCTGGATACCACGATGAGAGTCCAAAAGGTGACTCTCCATGAGCACGCAGGGAAGGGTACGTCGAGGGATCAGGCGGCGACGGGGAGAGGCTAGAGGTTGATCAGGCCCCTATATCCTTCTTAAGGCACACGCTGGGTTTGTTAAGCTCCGTTCGTTGGGCTCCGCAGCGCTTAGAGTGCTTCACAAGATGTGAAGTCCTCCTTCTCCTCCTCCACGAGATGGCTGTGGAGTCCTCCTCCTCCAACTTGGGCGGAAATTGCTCAAGCCTCTTATACGGCTAGCAAGCCAATCACTAGCCGCCACATGGGAATAATTTAGAAACAGCCAATAGTGGGACACAAATTTACATGCGAATGGCAGGAACTCCTTTGCACCGGGGTTTTCTCTATGCAACTGAGAATTGCACCGTGCAAAGAAAGCTCCTCGTGGCGGGAAATAATTCTGCAGTGCCGAAGCACACACACAATCATACCCTTTGGGTCATGACAGTATTTACTTTTATTTAGTGCAACATCGAATAATGTTTCTTTGATCTATCCTAAAAATCACATTTAGATTGTGTATCTATATATACACGCCTTATGTTCCTTGAATTGCTTCATACATAAAGGGCTGAGTGGTACTGTTAGAATCTGCCAGTATGGGTGCCTGTAGATGTGCGGGGAGGCTACTCTGATGCACTGTAATTACAGCACGCTGGAGACTTGTTAATTAGCATGTTCCAGCATAATCCAAGTCTCGTGTATCTGCATCCCTGCACTTCAAAATGGCGGTGGGGGCACTTTAAATAAAGCTTGTTGAACGAGCTTTAGTTAAAGCGCCCCTGCCACCATTTTGAAGCACAGGGATATTGATACACAAGACGCTGCGGGTGTTTTAATTAGAGCAGCTCTTGGAGTTCTAGTTAAAGTGCCCTCTTCCCCGCCCCTGGAGCACATGTAAAAACACCCTATGTGTCTTAGATGTTTCTGTACTCAACTGTTTGGGGGGTTTTTCTTCATTTTCCACTTTTGTTACTGCAGGCTCTGTGTCACATAGTGCACCAACATCAGGCACGCCAGTATAGAGCAGCTGCTAGCATTGTAATCACTGTGTTGTGCAGCTTGGCTTGGAAAAGATATTGATGATGGTATGTTTAAGCTGCCGTCAGCTCCTTCTGTATGTGGAGCTGCACTTGCAATATGGGGGAATTCAAAGTCTACATGACAAGGCCTTAGCGGTTAGGTGATAAGTTAGATTCTGCTACCCAAGAAGTATCCATGACACACACATTTTTCTAGCATGCAAAACTCATATTTAGTGCTTTGAACAGATGATAATTTTAATGTCTTATATTTTCAGATACCCTCTCTCAAAAAAGAGTAAGATCATCTTCCTTTACCATCCTTCCTACCTTTCCCCCGTCGCAGCCAGGTAATTAAGAAATGTGTAGCAAATATTCATGTAAAAACCAGAATCATTAAATGTATAGAACAGCTGTTTCTGTGGAACAAATCTAAACAGGGTTAGGCCAGGTTGGCATGTGAATAAGGCAAAAGAAAATTCTTGAACTGTTTGCCATTCAGTAGGTGACATTGTTTTCTCAATTAGTATTGCACTGATGTCCCTTTGCATTAGGGAATGCTGTGCTGCCAGGAGAGCAGTCTAGGGATGAGACATAAGCAAGCTATACTGAGAAAATGCAGAAAAGAGCTAAAGAAATGGGGCCAGGTCCAATTCTATCTGATACATAGACTTAAGCACCTCATGTGCAGTCCTTTTCCACCTTCGCTCATGTCCCTCCTATTCCTTACTGCATTCTGTAACGTAGTCGTTTTAAGACTCATGACAACATTTTACAAAGGTAGATGCAGTAACTTTTTCAGGGATTTAAAGAAGTGATTAAGTGCCCAAGGCCACTTAGATGTCCTTATAGATAGAATAACATCTGACCCAAAATGTGAACTGGGTTTGTTTGGACAAAAACAGGGGTCATTCATACAACAATGCTATCTTCTCTTCTGGGACACCCATTCAACTGAGTCTAGCTCTGACCATTGGCCCATTTACAAATATGGAAAAGGACAAGTGGTTACAAATTCTATCACTTGTCTGTCCCCCATACCCTGGAGTCATGATACCAGTGCTGAGAATCCAGGGACTCATGGAATTGTGGGCTAGAGCTTTTTAAGTAATCTGGTGAGGGGGCAAAGTTGCTGTAGCAACAAATCAGCATCTTCTTGAAAAAGAAATGAAGTGTCCATATATATGGACTATCTGTCATGCGTTTTTATCAGACACTTTTGATGAGACAAGGTAGCCATTCCTTTTGAACAATTTTGGATTGCACTTGGAAGCTTTCTAAAAACAATAGCAGAAATAATAGCATACAGGGATGCTGTGAGCATAGACTGTAAGGATAAAATGTTCATGACCTGCTCAGACACTACAGTGATGAGAGCTACAGAAATACACATAATAATTTAAGCCTTTTGAATAAACACTTCTTTTGCAGTAAAGAAGAATAATATATTCATGACCTCAGCTCTTCTCCGAAGAAGCAGTGACATCACAAGTACAAAAGAAGGTAATTATTGTCGTCATAGCAGTATGTATCGGATGTTAATCCAGAGCTGTACACTCCAAAAGTGCAGAACAGGTCAGTCTTTGTCCAGAGCTGCTTACAGTCTAAGGCTGAAGTTCATCCTTGTACAGAGCGCCTGTGCAACAGAATCATTTAGGCCAACTTAAGCCTTACTTGAGGACCAAAATAACCTATGTTCTGCGCCTCCATTTAGGAGTGAATGTGACCATGAGCATACACATTTTTGATACATTATATAATAGGGAGTGAGCCCTGCTTCCACTAAACACGATGTGAAACTCCAATTAAGTAAGTGCAGGATTAAGCTTTGTATAGCCAGAAGATGAATTTATTGCAGAGTTGTACAAAATTGTTTTAATGTATATTACACCACTCTCTATATTTGGAAGTTTAACATTGATTGGTTCCATGACTGGTGTGTTAGTAGGGTTTTAAAATACCAAAGGGCGGTATGTATAAATAAGAGTGGGTAAATTCAGTTAATTTAAAATATCAAAACACACACATATTCTGAGTCACAAAAGACAAGAATGTATACTTTAAATGTGAAGTAAAAGGTTGTGTATATGGTAACTTATTTTCTCTTTTGCTAGGATCTTCGTCACACTCTCCGCTGTGGAATATCATCAGGCCTGCCATTTTACAGCCACCACCAATGCAATTATATGAGGAAAGAAAGCAGACCTGTATTGAACATATACTGCTATTTCCAAAGGCTGAAAAGAAAGAAACTATTCAGGTAAAAATGAATTGTTATGTCAAATGTCTATGACTGTTTTTCCATGTGACTGAAGTGTAATAATGTTTAACTGAAATTACTTGTTTTGTGGGGGGTTCCAAAACATTCAGGATAGGCCTAATTTAAATCAGTGGGTATTACATAAATGATTTCAGTGGGACAAGTTGTATCGACATTGAGTGTTTTTGAAAATCCAGCCTTTCTTAAATGGGATAAAAGTGGAGATATTTTCAACTTGTAATTCCATCAGAATACATATGTTCTAGTATATATCTTACTATTGTAAGCAATGCTTACTCACCTGAGTATAGCTTTGAAGGTCCTATATTTCTGGTAAAACTTTATTTTTTCTGTAACATATCCAATTAATAATATTACTTGTTTTCAGTTATCTGAAGAGTGCTCACCTTCCCCAACTGAGAACATTATGAGTTCCAGAACAGCAGAGAGACCATGTGTCATCATGAACCTTTCAAGCCCTAAAACAATAGGGTAAGTTAGTCAAAGGGTATATCTGCAGTGATAGGTGTCCATGTATTTTGTGTATTCTTTATGCTCAAGGTAGGCAAAATTACCTTCCTTTCTCTACATTGGGTGTGTCTACATGTGCACTTACTGTGCTGGAGGTTATTGGAAGCATGTTCAAATGGTGCACCCTGGAGCAAAAAACTCCAGCGCAATAAGTGCACATGTAGACAGACCCCAATGTAGAGAAGTTGTATCAATAAGCACTGGGTGGACATTGGTAGCCAGGGCTTAGCATATGTCTAACTAAACAAAGAGCATGTCTACCTGTGATGTTTACTGTGGAGTAGACTAAGTAGCTCCACAGCAAATGTCTTGGTGTCTACAGGTGCAGGGCTATTAGGCTAGAGTAAACTTATAAACTTGTAAATACAAGTACTATCTTGCTGCAGCATTTTTTACTCCACAGCAGCACATGTGTAGATGCTGATGCAGCTGGCTGGGGCACAAGGGTGCTTCAGCATGGAGGCTGCTTGCCAGCTAGACCCATACTAGAGCATGGTTGTGCCCCAGCCAGCCCCTCTGCAGCATGTTGAGCTGGGCAGGAGCATCCCCAGGCTGGCAGGCTGATCCCCAGGCCTCAGGACCCCTGCCAGGTGGGGCAACTCTGACCTAGCTCAACATGCAGATTTTCAGGGATCTGTGCAAGGAACTTCTCCCAAGCTGATGATGCTCCACTGTGCCAGGATCATCAATGGGGTACAAGTTCATTGGTAATTTGAGAGACAGAGCTTATCCTCCCATGCCATGGCTTTCCAAGGAAGCATAAGGCAACACAGAACATCCAGTTTTAGTCTTAGCAGTTGCAGAATGATGGCTGAGTACATACATGGGAGGATGATGGTGAAACGATACTGCCTCCAGAATTGTTTGGATGCCAATATTCAAGACACTGTATTTGTGAGAGGAGCCTCTTACACCCAGCACAACATCTGTGAAACTAGAGGCAAGTATTTTCATATGGAGAAAACTGAAGAACTCCTTAAATGAGTCACTTGTATGGCAACTGCCCACTTAAGTGTAACCCTTCTGTCAGGCACTGGTTGGCGGCAACAAGGGCTGGATTCAATTTTGGAGTCTAAATATATTTTACATTGGCTCAAGCCCCAACCCAGACCACCTGGGAAACACTAAATTTCAAGGGTGTCCCACATAAACAAAAAACCCCTTCTTGCAAGCAGTGTAGACAGAGAATAAATTTATTACAGAAAACAAAGGCGAGGAAAACAAAGAAAAACACTGAATACAAATTAAAACGTTACCAACTACAAGCCATAGTTCATAGATTGCACCCTCTTGGGGAGGCTTCACCCATGCCCAAGCAGTCTGGGACTTGGGGCTCACCCAAAAGACAGTTCTAGGGACTTGTATCCTTATATCTGCCCTACTGCACTGAGCCCTGAACATATAATGGGTTCAGGCACACAGCTAAGCTGTAGAAACAGCAGGAAAAAACGGGCCCAGGCCTATGGCTGCAGCTTGGACATCCAGTCTCAGCTATACCCCATGCTGAGATGATACAATTACAAAACAGAGGGGGCCAGGCCCTGGGAGCCAGTAACTGCCAGGACCCATTCAGGCAGTTTGTTCCAGTGATTAACACCCCCACACTGCTAACCCACTTAAAAGAAAAATAAAAGAAAGATGGAGGAAATAGGAGTCTCAAACTCCCAAACAGATTTTCTCTCCCTCTGCCTGAGGCTTTCCCTTCAAATAGCGTTTGCTTGTCTCTTCAGCTAAGTCGGGGGACCCCCATGGGGAATAGGTTTTCTGGCTCCCAATGTAGCTGTGCAGCTACAGTAAATGCTTAAACAAACACAGAATGTGGTTAAACTCACAACTACATACAAAAGAAAATGGAAGACCCATGCAGTCAGATCTGTTAATCACTAACAAAAACAAAGGTTTGATAATAAGACCAGAAGATGCTATCTGGAAGCAAATGAAAGCTGAAGTGCAGCCCTTCAAACCATAATGTCACACTATGAATACAGGCAGGCTCAATGGAAGCTAGTTCTGCTGTGTTCCTCTTGCTCTCATTTCTCCTCCTGTCTGTTCTTGTATGGAAGAGTGTGGTTTGGTGCTATATGAGTGTTGAATGAGAGGAATTATTTGCTTCCAGAGTTAGTAGCACTGATCACATCCCTGTGAACCACAAATAGTTCTCCGTCCTGGAAAGCTTGTAGGCTATAACAGTGCACTGGAAAGGGCAAGAGAACAGAGGTTTGCAGAGTTCTTTGTGCTTTGTTAAGCCCTTGGTGAGACACTTTTGTTGCACTGGGCACTGTCATTTATGTCAGTGCTGGAAATTACACAGGAACAATCATCGGTGCCTGTCCCCATGTAGAACATGGCACCACCCCAGGGTGTTGTTTTTTTCAGGAGACTGCACATACGACTTGTTCAGTGTTGTATTGGATAGGTGCTACATGACTTCTTGCTCCTGCTCTCTTTCCATAATTTCTTATCCCATGGGTGGCCTAGGTTTCTCCGCTCAAGCTGTAGCTCCCTGAATTCGGTGCTTCTAATTGAATCTCCATGACAATGGCACCCTTTAGTGACCTCAGTTGCCATGTCCACGTATTCAGACTCTGGGGTTGGATGGCTGGCCCTTCAGATCTAACAGTGCCTGCAAAGACAGAGAAAGAGAGTCTGTTCAATACATTTTTGTAGAAATGAGAGAAATTAATTCCAGACACACAACTGTGTGGCAAAGGCACTGGTTTACAACTTCTATCATTTGTAGCTTGTCATCCTTTGTCATTTGAGATCTGTTCTGTCTAGAAGTGGCTAATGAAAATACAGCCACTGAGCACTAAGCACACACAGTGATTTTTTTCTCTGCCTTCTATTTTAACAACTGGAAAAAAGTGTTCACTAACTTGAAATGGCCATGAAATGGCCTGTCCCTGGCATGAAGTTGGGGCCAGGGCATGACTCAATGTTTCTTTAACTAGCCTGAAATTCCTGATTTTTTTTCAGGCTAGACAAGTCATCAGGCTGTAAACAAATATCTCATTTGACCCAGGATTGATTGTCCCAGGATTTGGCCCAGATTAAAAATGCTGTAGCACAGTCCTGTACACACGTGACCCTATATTACTGCTCCTTCACCAGTACGTGGCCAGCAAGTGCACACAGCCTGACAAGCTTGTCCCTGGAATGAACCACAATAATCAATGCAAACATACAACAGGATATCCCAGGAAAAAGTGTTAGTGCATTTTATCAGGCAGACTTCAAAGGGACTAGAAGCAGGATAGTGGATCTGTACGTCCATATGACCCCAGGACAAAGGGCTTTCTCATGGGGCAAATGCGATGTCTGTTTGTATCCTCAGCGACATGCATATTTTGGACATCCCTTTCTGGAGCAAAAGACGTGGCAATACAGGCCAATGGGAGGGTTCCCTCAGTCTAAGCCAGCAGTTCTCAACCTTTGTAGAACCGAGACACCTTGTAGCACTGTTTCAAGGATCTCATGGCACCCCCAGATACCATAGCACCCAGGTTGAGAACCACTGGTCTATGCAAAGGAGAGTAAAAGCTTGATTGACAGTACAGCATCTCAGGTAATGGAGAAGTTAAGTCAGTACAGAGGTGGCCCATCAGAGTTTCCTCTACCAGCTGGTTCTGACTAGAGTGAAATTTCCACTGTCTCACAAATTTAGAAGCAATGCCTCCCAGGGAGTGGGGAAAAGATCTAAAAAAAAAGTGTTGATAAGCCTCTGATGACAAAATTCACAAGCATCACTCCTCTAGGGGTAGGAAAAGATCCAGAAGAGCACTGAAAAGCTGCTGCTCTAAGGGCTTTGAATGACAGGTGTAGGCCTTCGTTTCCCTACTGAGGTCAATCACAGGAGAGGGAGGACAAAATCAAAACAGTTGGGGCTGTTTGCTGCTGAGGGATTTAGTCATTTATCTTCACAGAAATGGTGAATGTTTAAAGTACCTTCATAGGAAAATAGCACTGTCTCCTCAATGCTGGACAGTATCCATCAAAGGAGGCTGGCAAAGACTGAACTGGCTTTTACTGACTTTTTGCACAGGGAGAATTTACATGTTACACTTCGACCGTACTAAATCCGTGGAGCGTTAAGCGGCTTTGAAGTTAGAACTTTCTGTGAGTGGTCACGTGTTAAGTGTTAATACCATTTCTTTCCTGCATACCCCTGACTTGCCAGGAGGGGGCCAGTGAACAGGGGCATGGCTAGGGCCCAGGACACCTGGGCTCTGTCCCTGCTCTGGGAGGTGGGCGGTGCAGAGGGAACTGGAAGCATTGCATCTTGGGTTGCTGGAGGACTGCCGATTGCTCATTTCATTTCCATGGAGCAGACTGAAGTTATCTTAACATGAGGCAGGTAGCATGGCCCAGAGTTAACCCTCGCCTGAAGTGGCATAACTTTGAGGAGCTCAGAGGGTACTTATCATCAGTTAATGAGCTTTAGTGTGTGGATACTCACATTTTAGTTGCTCATAGAATAACCTAAGTGTAATTTGACCCAGAGACATACCATATGGGCCACATAGTCAGTAGGAAAAGTCACAAATGCTATTTCTTTAATCTGTAGTTTTAGGAACAGTTTGCGTTTGCAAGTCCTGATAATGCATTTGAAAAAAATCTTTGATATGTAAGAACTTGTAAGAAATATCTATTTCTGCAAGTGCAGATAAAATCAATAAGGCAATACTGTGAAATGCAGTGCTTGACTTATGCATTTTCATTTTTTTTTCCTACTTGGTAGCCATCTTGGGGGGTACTTGGTGCTGGGGTAGAGATGGAAGGAGAGCAAACTGCTGTGAAAACTCCATATATAGCGCCCACCCTTAACCAAAGCAAATCATAGCTAGGGAACTCCAAATCCTTCCTAATTCTGAATTCATTGGCTATCTATCAGGAAATCCTTTCCCCTATATATAAAGAAGCCTCCCTCCCCTAACTCCCCCCTTCCTCCCCCCTCCCCCAAAAAAAAGAAAAAAAAAGAAAAAGAATGAGGTGGTGAGAAAGTGTCATTTCCATGCTTGGAGCACTGAAAAATGCCTGATAGGCAAGAAGCCACGAACATTATCTGACTTCTGGTTTGCATCTTTTACCTTTCATCACAGTTGCATGAGATGAATGATTCACTCTTGGTACTATGACTCAGTACTGTGAATACCCAGCCAAGAAAAAGAGATGATAAACACCTAATAAGAAAAATTTATACTGCCATTCAGAAAGGGAGGTGCACAGAGGGGCTGGAAGACTCAGGAACAGGGAACTGTGGGAATGCTAGAGAAGGACAGTGTATATCTCACAACTATACTGCAACCATGCTGAAAATTGACCATACAGGGAAGCAAATATCAGCTGGGACAGGCACCCACTCACAGAATCTGACCAGAGCCTGTGGGTTCAGGTTATAATCACCCTAAAAAAAGGAATTGAAGACTTCCATTATGAATTAATAGCACAGTTTGGGAAAAGAACATGAGCCTGAATGTGCTGATGCTTTCCAGTGTAAATATATTCAAAGTGTAGCAAGTGTCTGGTTTTGTTCACCTCTTGCTTCCTTTTTGTGCACCTGTGTAATGATTTGATGAAAAATGCAAAGATTAAGCAAAAGAAAGTACATGGTAGCTAGGCTGCAACATCATCTGTATGCTTGTGCAGGGGAGTAAGAGGTCTCTGCATGAGTTGCATGGACTTCCAATTGTAGTGCAGTAGAAAAGGGTGCATGTCCCCCCTCCAAATCTCCAAGCAAATGGGCATGGAGCAGATGACATGGGTGAATTTACTGGACAGCACAGCTAAGCCAGTATAAGGAGGACTGTAGTTTTTTCCTAGCATTACTTTTCTGGAGCAAGAAAAACGAGGGAAAGAAGTGTGCCTGACAGAGGCACAATTCCTTTTTTCTTATTTTGCTCCTGGGCCTGGACACCATACACAGCTTGGAGCTGATGGCTTTGTTACCATTTCTAATCATATTCTTCTGTGTGAACTACAGGGTATTGTAATACCTTCATTTTTTTTTAAAGTGAAGTTTTTTTTTTGGTTCCAAGTTGGCCACTGCTTTGTTTTAATGGAATAGCTGAGAAAAAAATTCAGATATTTGTGTGTTATATTTATACATTTTACAAAGATCTCAATAATATGTTTCACCTATTTTGTTCCCCTAGAAATCATCTTGTTGAAGACAGAAGTATTTTAAACCATAGCAAATCTGATTTTGTGTTTGGAGAAAACATGGTTGAGAGAGTTTTGGTAAGGCTTATGAATATTGACATACTGTAGCCCAGCCAAATCTATTTACCAGCTTAAAATATCTCAGAGAATGATTATTTCTATATTCTTCTATGCCCCTTTTAAAAATTGGGTGAATTTGAATTCCATAAACTGTTCATTATACAAAATGGGTGAATGTTAATTGAACAGAGGCATCTGGGTCTTGCCTTTCTCAGTGAAGTGCCCTACCTATGAAGTTGTAGTCAGGTGCCCTCTTTCTTTCTTGGCCGAATAAATACTTAATGAAACCACACAAAGTGGAACAGCCTCTACAGGAAGTAAGGAGAGTGCCTATACACCACATAGCCTACAGGTTGGTTGTTAAGGACTTCCCTGGATGGCAGATGTTGGGTTTGAATCCCTTCAGACAGAGGAAGGAGCTGAACCTAGGTTTCTCACATTCTGGGTGAGTGTTCTAGTCAATAACTGTCTAAAAAGTGACCACCTTTTTCTCCAACTGTTATGCATAGCTTAATCCCTTAGACAAGAACTGAGACTGTCTAACAGATCATGTGTGACCAGCCAAGACAGGTGGAGGAAAGCCTAGTTTATGACCCTTGATAGGGTTTATTTATATGTTAGACCTCTATCTGCTCAGCACTGTCAAGTCACAGACTTTTTTGGAAGATACCTAAGAAGCTGAAGTGCCTATTAGGGGTGTGTGAAACAGGCTCTATTCAATTCGGATTCAGATTTGGCTCAAATTGGGAACAGTGATTTGATTCGTTGATTTGGATCACTGTCCCCAATGTGATTTGGACAAATCCAAATCTGAAGATTCAATGCTGATTCAGAGAATAGACACAGCTTTAAATGTTTTTTCTACATATCTCGAGGTACCAGGCATGGCTCGTGAATGCTGCAATGCTGGGGCAGATGGAGTATCCCGCAGGAGTGCAGGAGGCCTCCCCGTGTGCTTGGCAGCAAACCCGGAAGTGGACCAGAAGTACTTTTGGTCCACTTCTGAGTCCGCCAGGAAGCGTGCTGGGGGACCCCCCCATCCGGGCCCTCCCAGCTCAGCGACTGGCCACAAGAGGACCCCGGGTCCCCCCCACCCCAGACCCGGGAGGCACCAGTTGCTGAGCCGTGGGGGTGCAAGGCCCCCCCACCCCGCACGCTCCCCAGCGGACCCAGAAGTGGACCAGACATGCTTCTGGTCCACTTCTGGGTCTGTTACCAAGTGCGCTGGAGAGCCCCGCGCGCTCCTGTGGGACGCTACATCTGCCCCAGCATCACAGCATTCACGAGCTGCCTGGTACCTCGAGTTATGTAGAAAAAACATTTAAAGCTGTGTCTATGTCCAAATTGCCGAATCTTTCCAAATTTCTCCTAATTGACTCGGAGGGTTCCGATTCGATTTGGAAAGATTTAAAGGGTCTCCTGATTCGATTCAGATTTGGAGATTTGGTCACTGAATCAGGCCAAATCTCCACTGAATCAAATCAGGGATTGAAGCTTCGCACAGCCGTAGTGCCTATGTGTTTTAATGCCTTCAGGGTTAGGTAACAACTGAATCAGGTCTTTCAGGATTGCAGTTTTGGACATAACTACCTAGGGTTACCATACGTCTGGATTTTTCTGGACATGTCCTCTTTTTGGGTCCGCCCATCTCCATCTAGGTGTTTTGTTTTCTTTAATTTCAACAAATGTCCAGAATTTTGCTGTGCTCAGCATCAAAGTTTTTTCTGACACTTCCTGGCTTGACCTAGCAAGAAGCTGCTTGGGACTGGGGGAAGCGGGGGGAGGGTGACTGGAGGCAGGGGACATCACATGTATCTGCATGCATAAATGCACATGACCAGCATTCAGCCAGGCAGGGTGGGAGTGGACCCAGTAGTTGGTTGCAGGTAAGTCTGTCAGGGCAGAGGTTGGAGGGCTAGGGCTTGGGGA